TATTAGGTAAATTACAAATACACCCCTTGATATTTGATTAAAATACGAATCGCCCCTTATAGTTTTGAAAATTACATTCTGCCCCCTGAGGTTTCTAATTTCATAACAAATCATCCTTTTTTATTAATAAATTATCAAGTCAATTAACAGTTTTTAATGATGATAAAAATATGTTTTAATTAATAATTTAGGTAATTTTATTATTGTATAGGATAGCAATTATGAATTTCATTTTTTTAGTTAATTTTGTTAAATAAAAAAATCTAATAAAGGGGTATTTGTAATTTTTCAAACCACAGGAGGCAATTTGTATTTTAAGCAAACTTCAATGGGTGTATTTGTAATTTACCCTAGATAATTCTAGTGTAACTTTAATCTTGAATATCTTTAGAAAATATATTATACTTTTTTAAAAGGGGAAAAAATGAGAAGAAAAGTTAAAAATATGTTGGGTCTAGTTGAATCAAATTTGATCCCATTAAAAACTCCATGATCACTAAAATAACAACAAATCATGTATATATGTTGATTATTTTAGTATTAAACGCTATTAGAAGCTGTAATATGTCATTTTCACTAAAAAGATGGAGAAAAAAAGAGTCAAAAATATGTTGGACACTATAATTTCAAAAATTGCATGAATCGTAAAAAGTGACTCAAATTGTGAATCGTACGATTCACTAGAGATTCACTTCTAAAATATATTCACTCATAGATTCGTATCGATTTTGCAAAAATTACGTATCGAATCGTGAATCGAATCGCGAATCGTAAGATTCTGATAACAGAGATAATCATATAAAATATTTAAATAATAAATTTTGTCCTTTATGCAAGACTTTATAATTATGAGGGGGTTTAGAAAGTATAATTTTTTTCTTAGTCCTTTTAACAATGAAAAGAAAGTAAAGGGGGTCTATAGCTAAATTTCCCATAAAGGGAAGACCAAAATATAAAAGTAAAGGTAGTTGTTTATTTATATAGGAGATTGAAAATATTGAGTTAAATCTTATTGGGCATGACTACTTGGAATGTTATTCTATTAATTGCCATCAATTCAATGAGTAAAAGTTTACAGTCAAAAGTCATGCATATTGATGTTGTTAAAACTAAAATAGCGCACAGCCCAGAACTTCAATTTTTAAATTTTTGGGGCAATTGCCTAACGCTATGTTTGGATTGAGTGATTTGGAGAGAAAAGAAACGAAATAGAATGATATGTATTTCTCTTATTTGTTTGGATAACTTAAGTAGAGAGAAATTGGAAGAAATTGAGAGAAACTCATTTCTTTTATAAGCCCCATTTTCAATCTTCCCAAAAGTGAAGAGATTGGGAGAGAAAAGAAACCACTACTTTCATAATACCAAATTTTGTCCCTATAAAAATAAAAGAAATAAAATAATTGAAAATATAAAAAGGTTATTTTGGTAATATAACATAAAATAATTTCTTTTCTTTTCTGTTAATGAAACCTAACCAAACAAGAATGAGAGAAATCACAATCATTTCTTTTCTTTTATTTTTTTCTTATCCAAACAAAAAGGAAAGAAATCACAATCATTTCTTTTCTTTTCTTTTCTTTTCTTTTATTACTTAATTAATCCTTTCTTTTTTCTGTCCTAAGTTCCCAAACATAGTGTAAAGCTCTATTCGTTTTTGTCCGCAAGGACAACAACAATTTGAAAGCCACTATCTGTCTAGATGTCCTACTTATCTATCCAAGTGTTCACCTATGCATCTGTTCACGTGTCCTATCTATCTGTCCATGTATCCATCTATCTGTTCATGTGTTCATTTGTCCTCCACCAGTAACTTTTTAGGCAATTTGTCAGTAGTCGTAGGCAGTGGGCAGTGATTGATAGTAGTATGTGTGAGAGGGAGAAAGTAGAGATAGAATAAAAGAACATGGGTAAAAATGGGGGAAAAAATGTCTTTTAAAACAATAATTTGAACTTCTCAAGTTCTCACCAATATATTTCATTAAGCATGCCCTTATAACCAAAACAACAAATTATTGGACCTTAAAAATGGACTTTTCACTAATTAATCCAAATTAAAATAACTTATTTTTTTAAATATATATATATATAGAATTAGGAATATTAGTTTGCTAAAAATTACAATAGCTGAGTATAAGTATTTTCCTTGACAAAATATAAATATATACATATATAAATCATAAAAAGACAATAACTTTTGAAGGGTTGCTCCGACTCACCTTATTTACTACAGTGTTTTTACATTAAAATTATGTAACTTGTAAAAGAAATAATTTGACGAGAATCAAATGTTGATCATGAGACAAGCAAATTGTTGAATAATCTTTTAGCAACTTGATTATTTCCATATGCATAATAGATTTAGTAATTTTTCACTCTTCCCCAAACGAAAAAAAAAAAAAAAATAAATTAAATTAAATAAATAATTACCATATAAGAAATTTATAAATATTTATTTTAATTAATATATAAATATCAAATGCCTAACATTGATATTTGGCCTTAGGGCCCTGATTCCCCCAAATTGCATACATAATCAAGTAACAAAGAAACAAATGCCCAAATATAGTTATGAATAAAAGCAGCAGGAAAACTTATTTGCCTCCATTTCTTGTTTATAGCATTTGCAGTCTCTGCATTTACACATGTATGATGTATATCAGTACTTGAAATCATGCATTCCTTAATCTAAACCATAATTATCCCTTTTAAACATCCCAACTAAAATGCTTGATCAACTCTTCTCTCTTTTTTTCTTCTTCTTCTTCTTACTCTTTTTTTTTTTTTTTTTCCCCCTTTTTTTCCACCTTAAATATTAGCTCTGTTTCATAGATATAACAGAAAAATTGCCAGTTTTGAACACAATTTGAACATAATTGAGGGAGAGGGAGAGAGAGAGAGATTAAGACCTTGGAACCGAGAGAATAGTCTCCATTGAGAGGCCACAAGCCGGCGCAAACGTAGCGGTGAGAGGCGGAAAGCCGCCGTAGAACATCGATCAAGAGAGCGACGGCGTACTCTGCCACGTCGGCGGCGAAGGCGGGGCCAGCGTTGGCGACTGCGATGCGGCGGCGGTGGCACTCGGCGAGGTCGATGTGATCGACGCCGGAGCTGGTGGCGACGACGCACTGGAGGGAAGGGAGGAGGTCGAGGGTTTGGGAATGGAGAGGGGCTGGATCCAAGCAGAGTTGGGCTCTGACGACGGAGAGGGACTCCTCCGAGTGGGAGTGGGATTGGGAGGCAGGGTCGATGAGACGGAATAGGGTTTGTAGGCGGGAGGTGAAGATGGGGGGGAGGTTGAATTGGGGAAGACGATGGATGAAGATTAAAGGGAGCTCATCTTGTTCCTCACTGCCCATTGATTCCCCCACTATGCCTTTGTAGAATTCTTTTTGTTTGGACTATTTATGCCAACATACCTTTTTGTCTGGACTGGGCTACGCCAGTCGGTTCAGTAAGGTAAATTACACCGACACCCTTTCTGTTCACTATAGATCCACGTTTTGAGAAATTTCAAAATTAGTAATGTCGCTATAAATTATATTTTAATTTATTGATATCATGTTTTAAAATTTTTTAAATAGTTATTTTACTATTTTTCTTCTTATTCTATCATCATGATTACATTCTACATCTTTTTATCATTAAATTCTACCTAAACATGTTTTTATTGAACGATGATATATAAACATAAATTTTATATAAAATTTTTAAATACAATGATATAACTTAATGGTGATTATTCACTTTAAAACAAAAATAATCAAAAACACAATTTATATTTACAATAATATCACTATCACAACATTTTTATCATTTTTTTACATATAAATATAATTTTTCATTTTTATTTCCACTATCAATTTTCTTTTTCATCTATTCATCCATATTTATTACAATATTACTAAACACAGTCATTCAGATTTATTACAATATTACTAAATTTTTAAATTTTTTTTATATTTGGTGAATTTTAAAAAAAAAAATCACAAAATATTATATTTCTTAAGTATATCTAGATTAGGTATATCTAAAAAATAAAAAAAAATACTTAAAATATTAAAAAAATTAGTAAAAATAAAAAATACAAAAAATAAAAAGATTTAATTTTTTGTGTAAGTTATACCGAAAAAGATTATTATTATTTCTCTTGAAATGACATAATTAGCCCAAACCCAACTTCCCAAACGCAACCTTAAAATATTTTAAAAATTAGTAAAAATAAAAAATACAAAAATAAAAAGATTTAATTTTTTGTGTAAGTTATACCGAAAAAGATTATTATTATTTCTCTTGAAATGACATAATAAAATATCAACATTATTTTATTATTTTATATGTATAAAAGTTAAGGGATAAATATGTCATTTTAATCTGTCACGGAATAAGTGTAATTTTTCAACTATAAGAAAGTAATTTGTATTAAAAAGAAAACTCAAGAAGTGTCGGTATAATTTACCTTAAGTTTTAGGGTAAATTACAAATACATCCACTGAGATTTGATTAAAATACGAATCATCCCATGTAATTTTGAAAATTACATTTCACCCCTGAGGTTTCTAATTTCATAACAAGTCGCCATTTTTATTAATAAATCATTAAGTCAGTTAACAGTTTTCAATGATGTTAAAAACATGTTCCAATTAATAATTTAGGTAATTTTATTATTATATAGGAAGACAATTATGAATTTAATTTTTTTAGTTAATTCTATTAAATAAAAAATTATAATAAATGAGTATTTATAATTTTTTAAATCATAGAGAGCAATCTATATTTTAAGTAAATCTCAGAAAGTGTATTTATAATTTATCCTCAGTTTTATTATTTTGAGTTTTGATACAGATTCTTTTGTTGGTCAAATAATAATCAAATGGGAGCAACTTGCTTGCAGTCCGAGATCAGACTGGACGGTACTGTTTAGCCCATGGGAGCCCACCACTGGTCCCGTTTTGATAATCCGAACTGTTTAATGTATAGAATTCGTCGAGTACGATATACCTGTAAAAAATCACGTTGATCGGATATCGATAGCTATCTCATTGGATCGGTTTTTTGTCAACCGTCCATTTGTTTACTGTCCATTTTTTTATACAAAACTGATTTGATCACATAGCTATCGATATCCGATCAACGTGATTTTTTACAGGCATATAGTAATCGACGAGTTTTACACATTGAACAGTTCGGATTATCAAAACATGACTCGTGGTGAGCCCCCACTGGCCGAACAGCACCATGCAGTCTGATCTCAGACTGCAGGCAAGCTGCATCCTAATCAAATCACGTCAATTGAAACTGTTTGATTGGATTTAATCAGTTTATAATCTTTTAAATTTGAACTACTTTTTAAAATTACAATATAATCACTAATTTATATAAAAATATTAAATTAATTCTTTGTCTATTAATTTTTCTTTTGAACACGTTGTTTTTGTTTTTGTTTTTGTATTTTTTTGAACAGAGAAATGAGAAACAGAGCAAACCAACAAGTTAAACAACTAGAGCTAAACAACCCTAACCAAATTTCGAAGAACAGTAGGAGGCGGGGAGACCCAATCAAGGGAAAGACTGCCATGAAGGAATACCTGGGCTACTCAATGGCCAGCACCATTTGCTGCTCTCGGACACCATTTAAAATAGAGATTACCTCAATCAGCCAACAGCTTGATGTCATGAACAATAGCTCCACATTCCCATGGGGAAACATCCTCAGAAACACACAGATGTATGACAAGTTGATTATCACCTTCGACCTCCACTATCGCCGGATTATAAGCTTAAGCCAACTGATTAGCAAGACGGCAAGCAAGAGCTTTACCTTGGATGGAGGATGAAATGCATCACTTCTGAGTAAACCCATCTACCATCTAGCCCGTAGAATCCCGAAGAATAGTGACAATTGCTGCTTGAGTAAAGCTCTTCTTCACTGCCACATCATAGTTAATCTTGTACTGACCCAATGACGGAGGAACCCAATGCGCGACAGAGATGTTAGCAGCAGCAAGAACCTGTGGGCACGAAGAAACGCCCATACCAGAAGCAGACTCAAATTCTGCTCTTGCCATCCGAACACGATCTAAGACAGAGAGAGGATCAATCGGCTGATTGTTATAGATAAATTCATTTTCTTCCTTTCCAAATAAACCAACCAGTCCAAGCAACTAGACTAAAGAAACTATCACATTTAGTAGGATTCTGAAACTGTTCCATCAAGGCACTCGACCATTTTAGAACCAAGTGGATGGAATCCCAGTTGACTATATAGTTAACATTACTCCCAAACTAAATTGCTCGAACCCAATCACAGCCAAAAAGTAAATGTTCAACCGATTCAGGCCTGGATTGACAGATTGGACAAAGCGTTGAATAAGCACACCTCTGTCTAACCAGGTTCTCTCGTGATGTTAAAGCATTGTTGCACACACGCCACCAGAAATGGCGGATCTTCGGTGGGACTTGAAAGCCCAAATGTTTTTCCAAAACTTACTAGGAGGTTGGAAAGAAGATGACGATTTCTGGGCCACACTATCATGTAAAACTTACTAGGCAAGGTGATAACCCAAATTAATCGAATACATACCTTTAGAATCATAGTGCCAAACTTAAGAATTTGCCATAAGGGCCAAAGTAATGGGAATGGAGGAAATAGCTTGGAGCTCAGAGTTCGAAACAAGAGGACGGAGGGCATCCAGATTCCACCTCTTAGAAGTTTTATCAATAGCATCCTCCACTCTCTCAATCTCACAATCCACAGGTTTCGAAGAGATTACTTTAAAATCAGGGAGAGAGGGGACCCATTTGTCATCCCAAAAACGGATAAAAGACCCATCATTTACTTGCCACCTGACACCTTTTTTTAGAAGTTCCCGTTCTTGAAGGATACTTGCCCATGCCCATGAAGCTCGGCGACCCTTAGATGCATGCATAAAGCTAGAATGGGGGAAATAAATGTCTTTCAAAATGCAGGCACTAAAGGAGTGCGAATATTTAAGTAACCTCCCCCATTGTCTTGCTAGCAATGCCAAATTGAACTTATTGAAATCTCTAAAACCCAATCCTCCTTAAAATTTTGACAACACCAGTTGATCCCAACCAACCTAGTGGATCCCTCTACCTTCCATATCCCCTCCCTACCAAAATCTCTGAATGTAGGAATTCAATTTAGCACATAATTTTTTTGGAAAAGCGAAACAAGCCACTACATATGAGGGGATTGCCTGAACCATTGCCTTAATCAATATTTCCCTTGTAGCTTGCGAGAGCAATTTCATCTTCCAACCTTGAAGTTTTGACACCACTTTTTCAATGAGAAACTCATAGGCCTCTGCTTTTAGACCTTCCCCAAAATGAGGGTAGCCCCAAGTACTTTGCATTTGGGAGTGAAACTTTAAGCCCAGAAAGAGTACAAATGGAGCTACACAAATTTGGGGAGACATTAGAGGAGAATTGAACACTGGACTTGTCAAAATTAATCATTTGTCCAGATGCTTCACAATAAGATGACAAGAGATCCAAAACTTTATGACATTTAGAGATTTCAGCCTTTAGGAACAAAATCACATCATCAGCAAATAACAGGTGAGAGAGGGTTAGGCAGTGCCTGGCAATCTTGAATCCAAAAATTACCGGTCTCGAAGGCTTTTTGAGAGAAGATTTGAGAGGACATTTGTAACCAGAATAAAAAGATATGGACATAAGGGATCCCCTTGGCGAAGCCCACGAGTGGGAATGAAAGAGGCCGGCTTTTCACCATTAGCACAGACTGAGAAGCTCACAGTTGATACATATTCTATAACCCATTGGACCCACATCGGATGAAAACCCACCTTTTGCAAGACTGCAGCCAAGAAATCCCATTCTATACGATCATAAGCTTTGTTGAAATCGAGTTTAATAGCCATGTGACCTACATTTCCTCACTTCTTCAGCTTCAAAAAGTGAAAGCGTCATGAGCTATAAGGATATTATCCTAGATTAACTGTCACGACCCAAACCCGGCCCTTAACCCACTGGACCCACATCGGATGAAAACCCATCTTTTGCAAGACTGCAGCCAAGAAATCCCATTCTATACGATCATAAGCTTTGTTGAAATCGAGTTTAATAGCCATGTGACCTACATTTCCTCACTTCTTCAGCTTCAAAAAGTGAAAAGCTTCATGAGCTATAAGGATATTATCCTAGATTAACCTTCCCGGGACAAAGGCTTATTGGTTTGGAGAAATTAAAAGACCAAGAACTTTTTTCAAACGATTAGTTAGGATTTTTGTAATGATCTTTATAATAAAGTTATAGAGGCTAATAGGGCGGAACTGTGATAACTTCGAAGGGTTACCAACCTTGAGAATCAGAATCAAATTCATTTGATTGAGCTCTTTTAGCAGGTGCCTTTCCACAAAAACCTGCG